CCGTACTGTTATTTAAAGGTATGTCCTGCGTAGTTTTTCAAAACAGAAAACCTCCAAAATGTACTGATTTTTTCCAAGTGTTCTGCCTTTGTCCCGCATTTTCTTCGATATTTTAAAATTAACTTTTCCTAATCGAAATAAAAGCAGTGTCGGTAACTAATTGATAACTACATAAAGGTAAGCTGGTTTTGAAGGTTCAATTAGTCAATGCGTTCTAAATATTATACGGCTATGGACAATGGATGACGAGAATTTGAAGACCAGCATCAAATAAATCGATAACACTGTTCTACAAATTTTGTGGTAATCGCTTAAGAAAAAAAATATTTTCCAAGCCAATTTTCCTTTCAAACAAGCGTTTTCGTAATTTTTTCGAAAAACGTGTTTTTGGTACATTTCGAACCTATTTGTCAATATCTCATGCAAAAATTATCCAATCAACATAAGCGACCTACAATCCTCTTACAAAAATATATTCCTTTGCCGATTTCGATGAAAATTATTAGTGTTACAAGCGACCAAAATCGAAAAATTGAAATTTCAAGCATTTTCTTTTTACAGTAAATGAAAATTTGATGAGAAATGTAGATGTTACGGAACACAATCTGCACAAAAAATATATACTTTTGCAAAGAGCCCATCAATACCTTTCGAACTGTTGGTCGTTTCATGAGATATTGAGGAATAACTGAAAAAGTACTAAACATACGTTTTTCGAACAAATCTCGAAAACACTTCTTTGAAACCATGGGTATTTTTTTCGTGTTCAACGACCCAAAGTTTGTCTAAGAAAATTGTCATATTTCGTGTAAAGTAATATGTAATATGCCTTATTATAATTTGGTAAATATTCATTACCAAAATATTAATACCAATGAAGCAAATGTGATTTATGTTTACAGTTTAAAATTGGATTAATAATTAAGAAGTATACACTCTTCGTTTTTGAATAGCGCATCCTTTTAATACTTAGTAGGTACAGTTTTCCTTTTGTTTGTTTAATATTCATTAACTTTTTATAGAAATATAGCATATTCTACGTCTACATCCCATTTTAAAATTTTTTTGAAAATTAAAAAAAAAAATAAACATAGGGGCGAAATTTTTTTTTTTGACGGTGCTGCGCATTTTCTTCCATATAAAAATTTTGTCAAGCATACTTTGTATGGTAGAAAATCAAAAAAAGGGTGCGCTATTAAAATGGCGAGGAATGTATATATGTAGTATGTTTTTGTTATTTTTATACTACGCAATTATATGTAGGTAAATTTTTTGAAAAATTGTCCTGCATTTTCAAAATATATTTATGGTCACCGTAGATATAGATGATAACGCTAGGGAAGTTAAAATAATTTCAGTTAAAGCAGTGATCACAGGATTTGTACATTTGTACAGATTTGTACAGATTTGGCAGTGACAGAGTGGTGTTGTCTTAAAATAATGAGTTCAACGCAGTTCCAAACAAAAATGTACAAATGTACCAATCGTGTGATACCTGCTGCTTTAGAAATAACAATCATAGTTTTCACTAAAACGATTTTTCATACAAACACGTAGATGCCCCTCTTATTGGTTGAGTTCAGTTCTCAAAACTTTTGTTCGCTAGCGGAATGTTCCCAGACTTTTGTCCTTATTTGATCCTCCTTGAAAACGTTCTCGATACTTTCGTATTCATTTTGTTCCCATTGAAAGCGTTCCCGAAAGTTTCGTTCCTATTCTGTTCTTCTTGAGAAAGTTCCGGAGAGTTTTGTTCGCATTTTGTTCTTTACGGAAAAGTTCCCGAACCCTTGTTCTCATTTTGCTCCTGTTCAAAGGTCTGGTACGATATGTCGAAATTTAAAATGTCGAAATTAAAAAAACACCGAGAAAAAAGTCGAAAAAATAGTTAGAAAATCAAAAACGTCGAGAAAAAATTGTCGAAAAGAAAAATGTTGAAAAAATATATCGAAATAATGAAATGAATGATGTGTAAAATTCGCGCGAATTTCAAAAGGTTGATTTATGTAAGTTAAATTCCACTAACCCTATGTACTAATATTATAAATGTGAAAGTTTGTGAGTAAGTATGTTTGTTGCTCCTTCAGTTAAGTATGTTTGTTGCTTTCAATAAAATTTGGAATACAGACAGTTTATATCCTGGCTTAACGAATAAAATATTGTTTTGAGGGAGTTGCCACCTCTTTCAAAAGTTAAAATCGATTAATTAACAAGTTAAACCTAATATTACAGCAATATGGGTGTCAAACGAAAGCGGCTCAGAAACTATATATTTCGGAAGTATTTTTAAGAGGGTTGCCACCTGTTAAAAAAGTAAAAGTCAATTAATTGATAACTAAATATACTTTAAGACGGTTGCTATCTATTTAAAAAGTTAAAATAAATTCTATTAAAAAGTTTAAACGAAATATTTTAATGTGGGTATCAAACGAGATAAGCAAAAAGCTTTATTGTAGAAATATTATTACAGGGTTGCCATCTTTTTAAAAAATTAAAATAAATTTAAATAACACGTTGAATAAAATATTATAATATGTGTGTCAAACGAGTGAGGTTTAAGAAAGCTTTATTTCGAAAATTTCAAAAACAAGTTAACCGTTCGTCGGTCTTTGGGTAGAATTCTACCTAAAATGCTATATTAAAATACAATCTAAAAAAAGTTTAAATTCTATCTATTTATTCTGTTGAAGCTAAATGAAATATGCCAATGGGATTTTGACATGAAAAAGAAGTGTCGGCAGTAGGGTAATTGACTCGGGGTTTTCAAACCGGTTACCACAGTTTTTTTGAAATCTTGACATTTCGAATATTTAAAGTGGGTAAAAGCTAATATTTAATAGTTTGATAACTAAAGGGATAACTTAATCAATTCCCTTGGTATTAACGAACATAAACTAACATTTCAAAATTCTTATTATATTGAAAAAACTAACATATTTAAAAGAACTTAAAATGTAAGGGAACTTACAATATTCAAACTGAAACATTAGGTATAGGTTAAGAAACAAACACATAATAATTTTTGTTTTTTTCGAAAATTTAACCTTTTCCACTTTTTCGAAAAAAAATGTTTTTTCGGCGTAATTTTGTAGAGCTTTCTTTTTCCTTCTCAGGAACTCTAGAACATTTGAAAAGCTGCTCAGAACACTTTTAATTTTTTTTTTTCAAACATTCAACTTTTTCGAAGTTTTTTCGACATTTTGCATTTGTTTGACCTTTTTCATTTCTACAGTAGTCGATTTCGACATGTATATTCTAATTGAATCCCATTGTGTGCATATGTATGTATACAATATGTGTGATGTCTTCTGAGCAGGAGCAGTAGTCACATTGGTCATCATCGATTATCTTTAGTCTCTTCATGGTGTCTTTGCCAAACGTGTGTCCCGTTAATATTCTGCTGATCATTCATGTTTGTACATCGTTTAATTCCAATTTGTTTTTATGGTACCATGGTTTCGTAAGTATATTTGGAAATATTTCGAAGTATGTTTTCCCCTTGTTTTGGCTAGTATTAGTGTAGTTGCCATTTTGTTTTTAATCTTCTTTCAATTTCTTTTATAGCGTCTGATACCGTCCATCCAAGTGTCTCCTGTATGCCATTGATTTCTGCATTTCTAGCCGCATAATCTACCACTTCATTTTGGTGTATTTTACTGTGCCCGGGGATGAAATGAATTTCTACGCTGTTTATGTTGCTGTTCTCTATTGTGTACAAGATTTCTTTGATTAAACTGTTGTTTGAGTCCGGATTGGTTAAGGCGATTGCTCCGGATTTGCTGTCAGTTTGTATTGCTAGGTTTGGATAGTTGTGGATTATAGCAAACTCTATTGCCTTCTTGAATGCCCATAGTTCTGCAGTCATAGCTGCCATTCTCTTGCTGGTGTAAAAGGCTTGGGAGGTGTTGGTTCTTTCGTGGAAAAAGGCAGCTTGCGTACAGGTTTCCTTGCAGGATCCATCTGTATGTATTAACTCCATTTGTCTGGACTTTAAATATTCAATTTTCCTGTTGAACAGTTGATGTATCAAGATGTCATTCGCTTCTTTTTTATTTTTGACTATGTTTTTGAAGAACTTAGTATAAACGTGAATTTTGTTAGTTTTTATGGACTCTTCGGAGATTGGTGTGATATTTCTCATAACATCTTCATATTCATTAAATATTTGTGTATAACTAGTGTTGTAGTATCTATTCTGGTTAAGCAATAAGTTCGCAGCTGGTAGTTGGAAGGCGCAGGTCTTAATAATTTCTTTTGCAGTAGCTAGTCGGAGTCTGTATTCGGTTGGTAATTCTGCTGCCATGTGGTATAGAATATGTACTGGTGTTGACTTTATTAATCCTAAGCATCTTCTTATATGTTTATTATTACAGGTTTTGAGTTTTGTCAGTGCAATTTTGGACACATTGGAAAAAGATGATGCCGCGTATTCCAATTTGGATCTTGCAAAGGACTTATAAAACTGTAGCGCTCTAGCTGATGAGATTCCAAATGTACAGCCACTCAAAGTTTTGAGGAAGTTAAACTTCTGGTCGATTTTATCCGTGATTTCTTTTACATGCAGGTTTGAAGAGTTGTTTTTGGTGATGTATCTGCCTAGATATTTTATTGTGTCTACTTGTTGCAGTGCTATATTGTTAATTTGAATATTCAGTGATTGTTTTCTATTGTTGAAGTGTATTGTGTTGCTTTTACGCACATTAATTTTTAGGTCTAATCTAGTACATATTGATGTAAACTCATCTAATTTAGTTTTGAGTTGTATTGTTGCTATGTCGAATGAGTTGCTGGTTGAGATCAAAAATAAATCATCAGCAAACTGGAACAACATGGTATTGTCATCACCTATGGAGTGCAGTTCGGCTGTATACAAGTTGA